AAATAATGTAGAAAATCATAGAAACTTATATACTGAAAAATGAGAATGGTGCAATTGGTTTGGTCAAAACACTAATTTTACTTTCCAACTTTACCCTCAACTTTATATTTTTCCCATTATATATATGTTATTGCAAAATAATTATGAAAAAACACATAAAATGAAGAAAATAATATAAATTATAAAAAACAAAGAAATACATAGAAAATTTACAAAAAAATAGAAAATCATAAAAATTGAAAAAAATAACATAAATTACAAATCTATACCCAATATATAACATAGTCAAACATCMCCATCAATATCAAATACCCCGTGCATCGCACGGACCTGAACTGATAAGCAAAGAACTTAAAATTTTGTCTAATCAACACATTTTCTTCTTTTTCTAGGAAAAAAATAGGGCTCATCTCCTATATTTTCTGAATTTTTGTTTTTTCTTTGTTTTCTTTCCATGAATATGTCCTTTTAATATGAATTTTATACTTTTTATGAAGATTATAGATCATTACTAGTGAAATATGATTGCTGGTTGTTACAGAACTTAGGAAACTTCCCCAGGATTCATGATTTTTATTTTAAAAAAAATCCTTTACCTAGATGACTAGGTGACAAGGTGCCCCATTGTCACCAATCCTTGCCTCAGCACCTTGAAAACTATGGCTGCATCATGGCCAGGAGCTTGGTTCTCAGGGAATTGCCCATAAGCCCATTCACAACTAGACCTAATGGTTTGGATAGTTATTTTGTTCGACAATACCTAGATACATGCCTAGCAAATTGCTGTTGGACATGATATGCACCTAATACAACACCAAGTACTGCATGGAGGCCTTTTGACTACACTTTGTAGGTTAGCACTTATAAAATGTCATATTTTAACAAATCATACAATTAAAATTTTGCATCTGTTGGAAGTTTAATTAAATTTGGCAAGATAGTATTGAGAAATGACTCTTGGCTTAATAAACTAGGTACACAAACAAGATATTAGCATATTAAATGGAATACCCTTAACTGTATATGTGTCTTGGATATTTTTTAGTCTATCCATGTTCTGGGTTTTAGGAAATAGATAGTTGTGTACCCATTTCCTTTGTATCCATGTCTGCATCCAAAACTGGGTATCTTAGATTTTGTTATTAATAAGCTTTCCTAGATCTATGAAGTCAGAATTGAAGTGGTGGAGCTAATAAACATTTGGAGGGTTGCAGGCAAAACAGAATGAATGGATGCAAACAATAGAGAGGGGGGGTAGAGCTGAAGGGGTGAAGGAAATTTCAAATGAGGAGTGTCTGGTTGCCAAAGCCTTTTCTTGGATAGGAGGTTAAGTAGTTTGGTGCCCTCTGTTTAGAAGGAATCTAAGTGACTGGGAGGTTGAGATGTGGATGGAGCTGATGCAGCAAATCTCTGCCATTACACCTGATAGTATGAGCAGGGATAAGAGATTCTAGATATGGGAAAAAGAAGGTAATTTCAGTCAGATCCTTTTGCAATATGCTCACAGAGGTGGAGATGATGGACTTCCCAGTAGCCAAAATGTGGATACTGCAGTTCCTCCAAAAGGCTGAATGTCTTGGCTAGGTAAGTGTCTGACAGTGCTGAATGTCCAAAATGGGTGGCAGTGCTGGGTAAGTGTCTGACAGCGGATGTCTTGGCTAGGAGAAGGCTGAATGTGCTGCCTAGCAGATGTGTAATGTGTGGGGGAGCTTCTGAAGATTCAGATCATTTGCTGATTCACTGAGAGYTGCGAGAAACCTTTGGGGGGCTGTTTGAAATTCATTTTTGTTTTCCAGAAAATTTATTGGTGGTTCTAAGGAGTTGGCAGCTGGAAGGTCTTTCTAAAAAAGGCAAGGTTATTTGGGGAGTAGGACCAGCTTTAGTGGTTTGGACAATATGGATGGAAATTTTAGAAAATCAGGGAGCTTTTGTGGATGGGAGACAAATTCTTGATGGGGTGCTGGTGGAATCAAGGCGGAGTGGGGAAGAAGTGCTATTTAAAGTTGACTTGGAGAAGGCTTATGATCATGTAAACTGGGGCTTTTTGGTTTACATGCACGAGAGATTCAACTTTGGCAGGAAATGGAGAAACCGGATGAAAGTATGTCACCACAACAAGCTTCTCAGTAATGATAACTGGCAATCCAACAGGAAGCTTCTGTAGCTCTAGGGGAATCAGATAAGGAGACCCACTGTTTCCTTTGCTGTTCATTTGTATTTTGTAGAACAAAGGCTCTAAATACTATAGTGAGCAAAGTGGTCGAAGGGGGTTTCTTAGAGGACTTCAAGCTCAAGGTGGGGGAAGTGGTCGAAGGGGGTTTCCAAAACCTCATGGGTACTTTAAATAATTTTCCCTATTATTATTATTATTTATTAGGCTTGGACATTCTCTTTACTTTTTCTCTCTATATTTTGTTCCTTTTCTGTGATGTTTAATGCAAGAATCAGGTAAACCTTTATTCATTCATCACACTTAGTTTATTTTCATTATTTCAGTACATAACATGATGATTGAATAAAACCCAGTTAGCCAGAAAATGGATCATTTTACTGGAAACTCAAGGTACATGAAAGAGAATTGGTGATCAAACCAACAATGATGGGAAAATGAATCCTCTTTTTAGCTGTAAAATAAATCTGTTGGTTTAGCTCTTGCTAAATGAGCTTGGTTCCTTATTTCACTTTGATTTGTTGATGAAAACAATGCATCACTAATCCTACTTTCTTGTCATTCTGGAGTAATACCCAGCTAAAGTTGATTTTTCTTTGATATTGACTACACAAGTTGTCTTATCAAGTAGGACTACTTGAATAGAATTGCCATTATATTTAATTTTTCATGCTTTGTTTCTAGACATTCTATTTTAGCATCACCCATATTTGCAGCATTATACTTGTTCCTTTCAAACATGCTATCTATAGTCCATAAACTACCGTCTCATCATCATCAAAGCCATATTCCAACCATATGGGGTTGGCTCAAATATTATCCTTAAGCCTGTTTATTATGTGCTGACTGGGGCTCTGTCTTGCAGAATCAGTGGCCAGATGTATAGAATCCATTGATGGCATTAGGACAATTATACAACATCTTGAACACCAAGAAACTGATCATAGGATTTCTTCTTTTAGGCTTACAAGAATCCTCTCAGAAAGGTTGGACCAAGTTCTGGTTACCGTGCTGAGAGAATCCAACAAGCTTCCATTATTCAAAAACAAGCTATTGGACAACCAATGTTCAGATGGTGAGAGATCTGAGGCTGCATGCATACTTGCCAACATACCATTATCAGATGATGAGGTGAAAACAATCCTAGAAATCAGTCTTGTTGGATGGATAGTCACTGCTCTCAGAGAGCATCGCCATAGCTCTTTTCGGAGGACATCCAGGCCAACATCAAGCATGGTGGAAGGGCTTGTTGGGCTCTTACTTCATTTCTCAAAGAGCCCTGATCCAACAATCATGAGCATGGTTCAAGAGCATAGGCTAATGACAATATTCTGTGAACAGCTTAGTTTCCCCTCAAATTCAAGAGTGAAGCAGCGAGCTGCTTGTGGTTTGAAGTACTTGTCTGAGTATGGGAGGGTACAAGCCGCATCCAGGGACTCAGAACCACAGCCTCCAAATGGGTTCTGCTCCTTCTTGACGTTCATGTGTGGAAGGGCAACTATGGTCCCAACAACTTGTCCCATACACAATGTGCCATGTGAAGATGACAGCCAGTTTTGCTTGCTGAAGGGTAATTGCATTAAGCTTCTTGTTGATCTTCTGACAGATCAAGACACCAGTGTTCAAATTGCTGCAGTAGAGGCGCTTTCCACTCTTGTTTTTTGTGATACTTCTCATGGTCTCAAGCGGGCTATTGATGAACTTGAAGAACTAGGCGTGATTGATGCTGTGATCGATCTGTTCACAGAAGTCCGTCCAGGGGAACTTCAAGAGAAAGCAATTTTGATTGTAGACAGGGTCTTGAGAGTAGACAGCCATGCCCAGCGGCACTCCTGCAATCAGACTCTTGTCAGGGCATTGGTAGAAGCTTTTAAACATGGAAATGCCAACACAAAGAGGTACGCTCAGGATGCTYTGACCAATCTAAAGCAGTTGTCAGGGATCAGTGGAAAGAACTCAAATCAATCTCGAGGATGGCGATTACATACTGAACCATGAAATGAGGGTAGGGTCTTGTTTCAGATATCAACTCTGCTCATGTATGCTACAGTCAAATATCTTTGTATAAAGTTATAGTCTCATTGATTTTTCAGGTCTTTGTCAAATAAATACAAAATGATGATCTCCATGGTTTTTAAGGGCCTTCTATGACCCTTATTTTATAACAGCATTATAATGATATAAGAACGGTTATTTCTGTTATGGAAGATTTGTCCTAATTTTTCCTTCGTTATTATAATACTTTAATATTATTTAAATATTATTTAATTTTCCTTTTCTCTTTTGTTCCATTCGATACAATATATGGGTTTTTTTAATTACTTATTTACTTTTACATTAATTCGTATATAATAAATTTATATAAATATAAAATATTCAATTTATTAATTACAAATTTTATATAATTATATTACACATATATACCTCCTACGAGCTTCAGAGTTCACACTTGTAAAGGGTTCCTTCCTGCAAGGTTCAAAATATCAATATGCCCGATACACTCCGGTAGGAGCATATTAGGCAAATCAATACTGCTTTTTGTTGCTTTTTTATTTTTTATTTTTTTCACAATTGGTTCAGGGGGGCCGGTTTAGGGCTCCTCCACCCCTGAACCGGTCAGACCCCCCGATACACTCACTGTAAGGTCGTATCGGAGGGGTCCAGAATGATACGTCGATACTTTGAACCTTGCCTCCCTGCTCCTTCTTTTCTTTTCCAAAATGATTATATCCCATTGAATGTTTTATCTTCTTCGCATCTAATAGACCTCAAAACCCGATTTCGCCAACTCCTCAGCCCTCACTCATGCCCCTTCTCATACAATTGCTCAAATCTGGACGATTCTTCTCTTCCTACCATCCTGTTCGACCACTTGATCAACTCTCGTGACTTATGCGGTAAACAGACCAATTTAATGATTTCTACAAATTACCTCTCAGAAACTGTAAATTAATCTTCTCACCTGGGCCAACGCTCATCAGCACCTTAACTATTAATACCAGAAACGTAATCTGAGCTACCTAAAAGAAAAGTCTGATGAAACCTTTATGCTGTCTTTGGTTTGAAAGAAAAGGTAGGGAAATACGAAATTTGAGTTCAGGTGATTTAAAGAAGGTAGAATAAAGAGAGACAAAAACCAATAAATCATGAAAAGGCAAAGTTGGGTTTCTGAAAAAAATTCATCCACACACATTACACATACACACAAGCTGATCTTAACTGGAGAGCTAAACGTCACTTGATAGGGGAGGTTTAGTTCATTTTAAAAAGAGTTTGAGAGTTTTAAGTCTTTTACCCATAAATAAATATGGCCAATTTTGAGCTTTTGTGAGTTTTATGAGCGGCGTGTCTATTTGGCTTTCTGTCTTTTTAAGAAAGGTTCAAAATATTGATATATCGGATACGGCAGAAGGGGTGTATTTGTTCTTTGGACCTCACTTTTTTTTTTCTTTAAAACCTTTTGAAACGTATCCACAGGCCACTTATAGGATACGATGTGCTTGTAAATGCCCCAATAACGGCTTTTAAATATGCATTAGTTATGTACCTAAACCATTTTGGTGGTGTTTGGAACTGTGGACGTTTATTGAATAAATGCTGCCACATAGGCACCACTTCGGCATTTCCCTCATTATGTGGGTCTATACGCATAGAGACTCGTAAAAGCAAGCATTGATTTATGTGTGCGCCTACCATTTGGAAAAGCTTCATTTTAGCGCTCTCCTTAATAGATAGGCATTTATTCATATTTTGATGATGTGGTGCCTAAATGTCAATAAACAAATTTATTATTGTTTTTTTTTTGGTTTTACAAACAAATTAAATACAAACGAATTTATTATTATTGCCAAAACACCATTTTGAGGAGAAACGGAATATCTTTTCATTTGAGATAAACGCTGGCTTCTGCAACCATGTCTTGAAAAGATTGGAGTACTGTCAGGAGCCTAAAAACTGCTTTACAATTTACATGGATTTTTTTGTGTGTTTTGGCAAAAAGATCTTTTCATTTAATAGCAGAAAATAACCGTACATGGAGAGTTAGAGAGGAGATATAATGGAGGTTAAGCTGTCCTATTTATATGTACACACTCAAGTGAATCAAAAGGTGACAAAAGCTTCTTAAGTTCAGTGCAGTGAAGCTGCTCAGTCCATGTGCTTGGTTTGCTTCTGTCGTTCAAAAAATTGATTAGTTGCAGTGAAGCTGCTCAGTCCATGTGCTTGGTTTGTTTCTGTCGTTCAAAAAATTGATTAGTTGCAGGGAGTCGCTATGTATTATCTATCAGTTTTGTAGTATTTCTCTGTAAAGCTGCCTTCAGGCCCCTATGAGGGTTCTAATTTCTGTCGATCATAGCTCCCCTTGTGGGATGGTTGCACTACCATTAGGACATTGGAGGATTAAAGCTCGTCCTACATATTGATAGCTGTGTTCATTATTCAAATCATAAGATTTATCCAGATATAACATAACTTTCCATAGACAATTGACCACATGTTGCAAATCCAATAGGACGGATTGTAGGATTGACAACTTCAACTTGGACCGACTGTTATTGTTTTACAACAACCATTTTAAATTTTTAATATCCCAAGTGCGATTGAACAATTTAGGGGTATTCATAAAAACTGAAAGACTGAAGGATCAGTTTGGTTTTAATTAATCTAAAAAATAATTAACAGTTAATCAAACCAATATTTATATTTATTTATAATGTATATTATAAATATAACAAAAGCAAAAAGCAAAAAACCAATGAAGGGTAGGTGGGAGATGATAGTTTTGATGTACAGCCACTGAACCAGCCTGCCCCCACAAGCCTCCATCCCCTGAGCCGGTTGGACCATTGAGCTTTTAAATTTTCATATATAAAAGGCAACTGTGGTCCATGTACTTTCTTTTAAGGCCTGCGTCTGATTTCAGTATACAAAGGTCCTCCCTGGAGAAGAAGGGACCACCTACAACAATTATATACTGACAAAGCATGATGAGCAATAAAACCCTTTTGGCCCGCATTACTGTTCAAGGATACCCCATTTCTCTTTCACTAGAAAATGACCCTTTCTTTAATTGGGAAATGACAGTTCACTTCAGCTGAGGGTCAGAAATTTTGGGCCCAAACGACAGTTTGGATTTGGGGCACTCACATTTATATATCATTTTGTGTTTCAAATTTATAATTTGAGTTCCTTATTTTAAAAATCAAATCATGTTTCATTTATAACTGATAACCTATCTTATATTATATTCTAAAATGCAGCTCTCCACATCATACTCTTCATATTGCTTCCCAATCTCTTAAGAAAATTGTTTTTTTTTTTTAAATAAAAGTTAAATATGGAGCCATTTAAGTTCGCCCACAACCAATTCGGTTAATTTTAACATCATCCCATGCATGGCACAGGTCTCCTTCTAGTTTTTTTTTTTTAATCTAACAAAAACAATAACTTATATTATCAGCTCTATTCTCCCTTCCTACAAGTTTTAGTAGCCAAATCATGAGCTATCTAATTTATTAGACTGCCTCTCTATATGGTGTATTTTATATCTGTCAAAGTGTTTTTGTAGGTCCACCATTGCATCTCTAATTCTCTATATATGTAGTAGTAATACTATTTATGATGTCTACAATGGCTAAAGCATCACAAAATACCACCATATCTTTTATATTTCTTTGCTTYCTAAAGACCCGGAATAAGTGCTTCCCATTAGGCTTGCTTAACTTGGAGTTTGTAACCTGTTGCTGCTACTACTTTGTTACAACACATATTATTAGGAATCAGCTGTCCGATTCAACGATGGCATTAATGAATCATCGGTCTTGATGAGGTGTAATTTTGCATGATCTAGTAAATAAAAGTCACGTGGGCGTGATCTGTCTACAGGATGATAACTCAGTAAAGGGAGTCTATTTAGCGGTATGCGGAGTTCGACATAAAGTCATTTCGGCATAAGGTCACCTCGATATAACACCACCTCGGCGGCTAATCGAGCTCGGGGCCCGAAAATCGAAATAATACGTAATAAATCCCAATAGCTTCCCAGCAGACTTTGAATATTACAGAATCATACCGCATAACGGCAAGCCTTATCTTCTCCCCGTTTGAATCGGGCGGCGATAATGAGGTTCATTGACTAATACGTTACTCCTCGACTAAAGCGGAAACGGATCTCGTCCATTCAGGCCGCGGATCTCGGAACTGTTCCGGGAAACCCGCAATAACTCAGCTATATAAAGGCATCAATCCCTTCATGGTCCAAGTACGCACGATTACTTGCATCCAAGCTCTCTAGTATTCAAATTCTAGCTCGTAATCACGACACAATACTGACTTAAGCATCGGAGCGACCTTGCCGGGTTAGTCGCCCCGGGTGCTCTAATCCTCTGTCTTGCAGCTTGGTCCAGCTCGCTACACAACTAAGGTCCAGATCATCTTCCAGCTAGGAGCTTCCAGATCGTATATCATCAAGTGTATAAGCAATATTGGGATTCTTCTATTAATAGAACATTCTTCATTTTCCTTCTAGTTTCATCTAAAAGAATAGAACTCAAATCATTGAACGTTTTTATAATAAATTTTGTATTTAAATTAGGAAATTTAATCAAACACATAAAACATGGATCTCACATCTTTTGAAGTTTGTTTTTTTATACATAATCACATGTTTGAAGAGATAAATAATTTTTTTTTCTTTTTTAAGTGGAATTAACTATTTTCACCTTTTTTAAGAGTGGGTAAATACATGTCTAAAGAGGAAAAGTTCAAATTGATTTCATTGCACTAAAATATCAATCAATACAAAGGTCCTCCCTAAATAGTTTATAAATGAAGGGGAAAATGAATGGACCATGTATAACAACTAGAGACTGATAAAGAATGATGGCAGTAAAACCGTTTGGACCGGCATAGTTGTCAAATGAAAATATCATAAAAATTAAAGGAGACCTTAATTCTTTTTGTCTTTTTATCATTTCATGTGTTAGCTACTGATAATTGAGACAATGAGGGTAGTGTTAGGTTTATGGTTCTAAATAATGGCGGTATGGTTTCAAAATCATACCATTCTTTTTATATACAATGCAAAAGAGGATGTTTTTTTTGTGAATAGTGATATGTGAGAATTGATTGTATGATTTATGTGTACATGTATTTTCACTATCTACTTTGATGGTATAAAGACACTACAACTAAAGCCACAAGAG